ACATGGGTTTGTGCTGCATGAATGTTTAGTTCCTGGCTCTTCAATCTTCTGACTACAACAAGGCTGGGGACACAGTGGGGAAAGTGACCCTGGAAAAAGCAGGTGCCAGTCCCTCACCTGACTGCAATCTGTACCCACCTACAGTGCCCAGTACCAGGGGTGAACTGAGAACTTGCAGCCCAGAAGAAATGAGTGAGAAGGAAAGAGCTGAACCCCAGGCTCTCCCTCACTTCCTGCAATGACACTGACATCTGAGCTTGTGGGATAAATTTCCTTCTGGAAATTCTCTCTCCACACCTGCCAGTGCCAACCAGGAGGTGAACCTGATGTGCTTGTCTTCTCAGGGCTTCCTGTTCTTCTTTCCATAGACCCCTCCTTTACCGAGTCTACTTTCTCCATCTTTTTTCCCTCACATCAAAAAGAAAAACTGTCTACAAAAAAAAAAAAAAGAAAGAAATTTCACTATTTTCCAAACAATAGAAATCTTACATTAGCATGACTTCTGATCACAATGTCAAACACTCTAAATGAACACCCCCAAAGAGTCTAGTCAGTTGGAAATCTTAAGAGCAGTTTGCTGAATAGCTCCCATGGTAAAAAGGAAATTGCCTTGTGAACACTAGTTATCAACACCGATAAGATGTAGAAAATCAGTAATTCAAAGAACAATTACGGCTTTATTGGAAAACTACTGAGATTGAAAATAAATGTGGCAAGCATTCAGCTAAAGAAGTCAAAACAACTAAACATTAAGTAAACTTAAAGGGAAGAATTAACAGAGATAATTAGAGAAAAATAACACCCCCTTTAAAAGTTAGCAGGTTAATCAATAAAAACAAAGGCTTGTTCTTCACAAAGACCAGTAAAACAGACTAATCTCTAGCAAGTCTGACTTGAATACATAACATTAAGGATGATACTCATGCATGCTGTCATTTCTGATTCTTTGCAACCCCGTGAACTGGAGCACACCAGCCGTCCCTGTCCATCACTATCTCCCAAAATTTGCTCAAACTCATGTCCATTGAGTTAGTCCATTGAGTCATGTCCATCCAACCACCTCGTCCTCTGTCACCCCCTTCTCCTCCTGCCCTCAGTCTTTCCCAGCATCAGGGTCTTTTCCAATGATTCAACTCTTCGTATCAGGTGGCCAAAGTACTGGAGCTTCAGCTTCAACATCAGACCTTCCAATGAGTATTCAGAGTTGGATTCCTTTGGGATTCACTGCTTTGATCTCCTTGCTATCTAAGGGACTCTCAAGAGTCTTCTTCAGCTATTGACTGTTCAGTTTAGTTCAGTTCAGTCGCTCAGTCATGTCCGACTCTTTGTGATCCCATGGACTGCAGCACGCCAGGTCTCCCTGTCCATCACCAACACCCGGAGTTTACTCAGACTCATGTCCACTGAGTCGATGATGCCATCCAACCATCTCATCCTCTGCCGTCCCCTTCTCCTCCCGCCTTTAATCTTTCGCAGCATCAGGGTCTTTTCCAATGAGTCAGTTCTTTGCATCAGGTGGCCAAAGTATTGGAGCTTCAGCTCAAGCATCAGTCCTTCCAATGAATATTCAGGACTGATTTCCTTTAGGATGGACTTGTTGGATCTCCTTGCAGTCCAAGGGATGCTCAAGAGTCTTGTCCAACACCACAGTTCAAAAGCATCAATTCTTCAGCACTCAGCTTTCTTTATAGTCCAACTCTCACATCCATATACGACTACTGGAAAAACCATAGCTTTGACTATATGGACTTTTGTTGGCAAGGTAATGTCTCTGCTTTTTAATATGCTCTCTAGGTTGGTCATAACTTTTCTTCCAAGGAGCAAGCGTCTTTTAATTTCATGGCTGCAGTCACCATCTGCAGTGATTTTGGAGCCCCCCAAAATAAAGTCTTTCACTGTTTCCACTGTTTCTCCATCTGTCTGCCATGAAGTAATGGGACCAGTTATCATGACCTTCATTTTTTGAATGCTGAGTTTCAAGCCAACTTTTTCACTGTCCTCTTTCACTTTCATCAAGAGACTCTTTAGTTCTTCTTCACTTTCTGCCATAAGGGTGGTGTTATTTGCATATCTGAGGTTATTGATATTTCTCCCAGCAATCTTGATTCCAGCTTGTGCTTCATCCAGCCCAGTGTTTCTCATGATGTACTCTGCGTGTAAGTTAAATAAGCAGGGTGACAATATACAGCCTTGAGGTACTCCTTTCCCAAATTGGAGCCAGTCTGTTGTTCCATGTCCTGTTCTAACTGTTGCTTCCTGACCTGCTTACAGATTTCTCAGGAGGCAGGTCAGGTGGTCTGGTATTGACTATAGCCTGCCAGAATAAGGAGAGTTATGGTATAGTTCTACCACATGATATACAAAAGCAAAGAGAAATTCTGGATAAAATATAATAAAAAATGTTCTTTGTTTTAAATACACAGCAATCTCAAAGGAGAAATTGCCAGGTGATAGAAATGAGGGGAAATTCTAAGCAGATTAGTAAAATGAGGAGACACTACAATAGCCAATAAGGGCAATGGATATAGCTTTTAGTCATGGAATTGGAGCCTGGGGACTAAACTCAAGCTGAGCCAAACAATGTAACCTTTTGACCATGTGAAGTGAGGAGCAAAAAACTGAGATTCCCTACAGAGTCGGAACTCTCAAAAATCTCTCTCTGGGGAAAATGGGATTCGAAATTTTCTGTCCACTTCTCCTGAGAAGCAAGGAAGCTCATATCAGCCTAGTTTAGAGGGAGGAAAATGTTTCTATTCCAAATTTTTAAATCTGCACATTCTCTGTTAGTGTAAAGCCATTCCCAAGCTACAGAAACAGCAGTACAAGTGAGCAAAGATATGGTGAGGTTATTCATTGCAGCTTTGTAACAGTTAAAAACAATACTAACAATGGAAATAAGCTTCGTTAGTTTTGTGAGGCAAAATGCAATTGTCTTCAAAATGATGTGTATGAAATGATGCTGAAAGATGATTACAGTATTAAATTAATGACAGAAAATGGTCCATGTAGATAAGTAGGTAAGTAGGTAGCTAGGAGAAGAAGTAGAAAGAGGAAGAGAAAGAGAGAAATAGTAAAACATGGCTTTGGTTGAAGGAAAGTGAAAGCTAATGAGGGAATCTGGAGATAAGAGAATAAGTGGTTTAGGATTTGGTGAGAAACTCACATTTTACTTAAGTGTGAATTGGTTCTAATTTATCAGAACAGTTGAATTAGAACAATTATGTATTTAATTTACATATCTAAATTTACTTTTAAATTATGTGTCTAACAAAATTTTTTTTATCTTATATAGGAAAGTAAAGCAATGAAGAAAAATGAAAACAGAGAAGCAGAGGAAGGAGGAGACGCTTTTACTGAAGCCCAGATATAGATGGGTGGATTTCACGTGATGACCTACCTCCTAGGCAATTTTTCATAGAATAAGCTTGTAGTTGTTCAGTTTCTTAGATGCGTCAAGCTCTTTGCGACCCTGTGGACTGCAGTATGCCAGGCTTCCCTGTCCTGCACTATTTCCTGGAGTTTGCTCAAGCTTATGTCCATAGAGTCAATGACGGCATCAAACCGCCTCATCCTCTGTCTCCCTCTTCTGCCCTCAATCTTTCCAAGAGTCAAAGTTTTTTCCAATGAGTCAGCTCTTTGCATCAGGTGGCCAAGTACTGGAGCTTCAGCATTTTTCCAATGCATATTCAGGGTTGATTTCCTTTAGGATTGACTGGTTTGATCTCCTTGCAGTGCAAGGGACTCTCAAGAGTCTTTTCCAACGCCACAGTTCAAATGCATCGATTCTTCGGTGCTCAGCCTTCTTTATGATCCAACTCTAACATCCACATATGACTACTGAAAAAACCATAGTTTTGACTATATAGATCTTTGTCAGCAAAGTAATTTTCTGCTTTTTCAATATGCTGTCTAGGTTTGTCATAATTTTTCTCCCAAGGAGCAAACATCTTTTAATTTCATGGCTGCATTCACCATCTGCAGTGATTTTGGAGCCCAAGAAAATGAAGCTTGCAATAAGATAACACAAATCAACGTTGGTGAAAATAAAACAACCACACATCTAAGCAAGGAAAACAGCTAGCTAAATGTAGGATTTCAGCATCTAAGTAGACACATGATGCCAGACTTGCATCTGCTTCTCCCAGGGTTCAGCATTTCTCTTCCAAAGTTATGAGAACTCAGGGCTCAGAAAGAAATGCAAGTGAAGCCCAGCCCCAAGTCCCTATGCTGGGCTTCCTGCATGATGTTTCCCTGTGTGTCTTTGCCTCTTTTACTACTGGGTGTGGAGCCATTCTGTTTCTTGCTGCACATCTTTTGAGTCAATACTGATCTCTTGTGGGGCTTCCCAGGTAGCTCCATGGTAAAGAATCCACCTGCCAATGCCGGAGACGGGGGTTTGATCTCTGGGTCAGGAAGATCCCTTGGAGGAGGAAATGACAACTCACTCCAGTATACTTGCCTGGAGAATCCCATGGACAGAGGAGCCTGGTGGGCTACAGTCCATGGGGTCACAAAGGGTCGGACACGCCTGAAGCGACTTAGCACACACCACTGTGTGTGTGGATGAGGAGACTGAGAGTGAGGAAATGTATGACATCTGTCCAAGATCAGGGAGAATTATTTCTACCAGTCAACCAAACAGAATTGTGGGGCATTTTAAACAATGTCTTACAACGTGCCTTTAAATTTCCTAAAAGTGAATGTTAGTCTTCCTGATTCAGTGGCTCCAGCAGTCCCAGCCTCCCACTGGCCTCACAGTCATCTGAGGGTAAGAAGGTCAGCCCTTCACTGGAGCCTGAGACAGCCTTCTCTGAGGATGGGGCGCCTTCCCAGCACCCATGCCTGCAAGGCCCCAATGCCACCCTGAGCAGTGGCCGGCACACACTTTGATGTAAAGCAAGGTGACATTTCCCATGAGGGACAAGGAACTGCATCCAGCTATGAGCTGAACCACATTGTCAGGGCAATGGAGCTCCCGCAGGCCCTGACTCTTGTCTTAGAAGAGCAGCCCCGGGAAGCTCAGTCCTGCTGCAACCTTCACGTACCCGCTGAACACGGAGGCCTCGATGGCCCCGCATCCAGACCCTGGGGCTTGTTGCCACCACCCTTCACGGTAATAATACCATGACCTGTTGTAACAAATTTGACCGAGGCAGACTCAACCTACAAAAATGTTGTACATATTTAATATACACCTTAATGTTTGGAGATAAACAATACACACACAAGCCCATCAGTATAATCGATGCCATGAACACACACACCATTTTCAGAGGTTTCCTCTTGCCCTCTTAGTACTTCACATAAAATCTACCCTCTTAGCAAACAGTTAAGTAAACACTACCGAATCATTAGCCATGGGCTGTTCAGTGATGCTCTGAGACTCATTCATCTCATGTAACCAAAACTTTGTGTACTTTTTATTTTATATTAGAAAACAGTTGATTGACCACGTTTTGTTAGTTTCAGGTATACCTCAAAATGATGCAGCAATACACATACTTTGCATCTATTCTTTTTCCAAATTCTTTCAAATTTAGGTGATTACAGTATATGTAACATAGTTCCCTGTGCTATACAGTAGGGCCTTATTGGTTATCTATTTTAAATATAGTAGTGTGTACATGTCCAACCCAAACTCCCAGTCTACCCCACCCCTCACCAACTCATCCCCCTGGTAACTATAGTTCATTCTCTAAGTCTGTGCATCTATTTCTGTGTTGTAAATAAGTTCATTTGTATCGTTTATTTTAGACTCTCTTTAGATAAGAGATATCACATACCTTTGAAGTGAAGTGAGGAGAAAGTGTTAGTGGTTCAGTCATGTCCCACTCTTCGCAACCCCATAGACTATAGCCCACCAGGCAACTCTCTCCATGGGGTTTTCCAGGTGATAATATTAGAGTAGGCTGTCATTTCCTCATCTAAGGGATCTTCCTGACCCAGGTATCAAATCCAGGTCTCCTGCATTGCAGCCAGATTCTTTACAATCTGAGCCATACCTTTGACTATAACCACCATATACCCTCCTTCCATCCCTCTGGAGACCACCATTCTACTCTGAGCCTTAAAAAAAGGAGGAAATACTACCATATGTGTCAAAATAAGCCAGACACAGAAGAACAAATCCTACACGATCTCATACGAAGACTCTAAAATAGTCCAACTACCTGTTTTTAGGCTTCCCTGGTGGTTCAGATGGTAAAGAATCTGCTTGCAATTCAGGAGACCCAAGTTCAATCCCTAGGTCGGGAAGATCTCCTGGAGAAGGCCATGGCAACCCACTTCAGTATTCTTCCCTGGAGAATCCCATGGACAGAGGAGCCTGGCGGGCTACAGTCAGTTGGGTCACAAAGGATCAGACACGACTGAGCGACTAACAGTTTCACTTTCCCTTTTACCTGTTTTTGTAGGAGCTGAGTATAAGCCACATGCAGTCAGTGTCCCATATAATTCTCACAACCCCGCCCTTTTAGTCCTTCATGGAATAAATTCTTACTAAATGCCTGTGATGGGCTAATCACCAGGGTCAGAGGGGAGGACAAGACACAGTGACAGACTAAAACTGACAGACTAGAGGAGGGTAGCACATGAAGAGATTTTGGTAAACTGTGCGCAGGTATCACAGACAGGCAAGTAGGAAGCCCACCATTGGTGGGGCTGGGGCCGACTTCAGAAAGGGGTTGAAGTTGGTCCTGATGGATGGATAACCAAGAGCTGGCTTGGCCAACAAAGGATGGGGGCAGAGGTGGGGGCCGGGTTGCCCAGGCAGGGGAAAAATCTAAGGATAAAGACTTCACTCAGCAGTTAGTGAAACAAAGGGAGAGAAAGAACATGAAGGAGAAGGATAGGCCTCGTGACCTAGGCCGTGGCCAGTCCCCCATCACAGGGCCGAGTTCTAGAAGCAAGAGGTGCCCCGGAGAGTAAGGTGCCTTTGGAGGGTTCAAGCACATTGAGACATGGACACATTTGCATTTTCTTTAAAAAAATTTTTTTTAATTTATTTTTAATTGGAGGATAGTTGCTTTACAATGTTGCATTGGTTTTTGCTGCACAACAATGTGAATCAGCCACAAGTGTACATATGCCCCCTCCCTCGTGAGACTCCTTCCCTCCCACCCATCCCATTCCCCTCAGTTGTCACCAGTAGACTTCTGGCTGCAGAGAGAAGAGCATTGGGAAGGTTTGTGTCTGCAGCTACACTGACCCAGTCATCCAGGTCCAAGGTGGCAGGAAGGGTTAGTTGCTGTGAAAATGGAAAGAGCTAGATGCATGTGAGAGACGCTTCTAGAAACGACATGAGGGTTGTTGTGGGGATTGGATGTGGGGAGCAGGAGAGAGATTGACAGCAGTCAAGGAAGACGCCCAGGCTTCTGACTTGGACAACTTGTCATGTCCCCGAGGTAGAGATTCTAGAAGGTGAAACAGATTTGGGGGGGAGGGCATTGTTTTCATTTTGAACACACTTGAGTTTGAGATGCCCACAGAGCAGCCAGAGGGAGTTGTCTCATGGGCCAAGGTGGCTCATTCGATCAGGAACTTAGGAAAAAGGAAAAACTTCCCAAGCGGCTAAGACAGTAAAGAATCCTCCTGCAATGCAGGAGACCTGGGTTCGACCCATGGGTGGGGAAGACCCCTTGGAGAAGGGCATGGCAACCCGCTCCAGTATTCTTGCCTGGGGAATCCCATGGACAGAGGAGCCTGGTGGGCTACAGTCTATGGGGTCACAAAGAGTCGGACACAACTGAGTGATTAACACTTTTCACTTAGGATAAAGGCCCAGGATGTAAATGCCGTTTGGGGAGTTATGGGGTAGGGTTATTCCTGAGATAACAGACATGCCTGAGGTCATTTAGGAATTTGGACAAATGGAAAATACGTCCTGTAAACAGCAAGGTCCTGCTCTGTAGCACAGGGAACCATATCCAACGTCTTGCGACAAACCGGAATGAAAAAGAATATGAAGAAGAACACATATATATATATAACTGAATCACTTTGCTGTACAGAAGAAATGAACACAACACTGTAAATCAACTATCCTTCAATAAAATTAAAAAATTTAACTATAATAAAATAGAATCATTGGGAAAGCTCTGTAGGATAACATGTGTGCTTTGGGGCTACAGTGGGGCCTGTTACAGCAGAAGCGGCTGCCAGTTTCTTATTACTTTGTTATTATTAAAATCACATAACAAAGCTCAACACATAGTAACCACTTAGTAAATGTCAGCTCTTATTTCCACTTTATGTTGCTAAATTTGCATCGTGCTATAGCACCTGGTCCAGGTGAGTGCTCAACAACTGTCCATGACTTTATTGTTGACTGTTGTTACACCTGGCACAGGCACATTTCTTAATGTTTCATTAAAAAAATAAAAGAATAGAGGTCCTTGGACAGCCACCGGGAAGCATGAACATTTAGCATCTGAGTGCAGAAAGATGAAGCTGCAAACACGAGGAGAAGGAGTAGCACAGGTATAGACAGCAGACCATGCGAGTGTGCAGAGGCTGAGAGCCTGAGAGGACCTGTTTTAAGGAGCATGTGGTCCACATGCTTGAGTTGCAGAGAAGGCAGGTGAAGGAGTCTAGGAAGGATTCACCGGGTTTAGTAGCAGTTTTGGGGTGTGATAGACCCCAGTGGGGCCTCTCAGCTGGTGCTAGTGATAAAGAACTCATCTGCCAAGGCAAAAGATGCAAGAGACATGGGTTCGATCCCTGGGTCAGGAAGATCCCCTGGAGGAGGAAATGGCAACCCACTCCAGAATTCTTGCTTGGAGAATCCCATGGACAGAGGAGCCTGGCGGGATATAGTCCATGGGGTCACAAAGAGTCAGGCATGACTGAGAGACTAAAACAAAAACTCTAGCTTTCCAGTTGGTAAATATGTGTTCTACATATGTTAAAGAGGGATGTTCTTATAGGGAATAGCCATCTCTTTATATATATTCTGGGAAATGGCAAAAATCCAGATAAGTCTTTTGGGGTGGAGGCATATTGCAACATGTTCAGGACTCAGTCAAATTAGAGCTCATTTAATAGAAGACACAGTCTGTCAAAAACTGCCATCAATGCTTCAAAACATCCTTCAGATGCTCCCATAATGGAGGAAGTACCCCAGCCACGCTCCACTATTAGGGGTGGATTTTACAGCCCCCCCAAATCAATCACCGTCAGCCATGTGAGAGGCAAAAGGACTCCTCAGTCTGTCTCCTGCCTGCAGGTCCTTCCCCATCAGATGTCCAGCTCTCCTGCTCTGACAAAACCTGGGCTGGGCAAAGCTTCGGAGTCACGGCCGCTTCCCAGATAAGGAGGAGCTCTGTGCTCAGACTCCTTAAGACATGAAGAACGCCATCTGTAAAAGCAACGCTGGCTAGAGTCACCAGAAATGGTACTTATTCCAGGAAAGTGAGCTCTTCAGGGTCGTCCCAATGAAGTGTCCTGTCCACTGTGAGGAATGAATATGTATGAATGAGTATGAATATGTATGAATGAATATGAATATGTATGAATGAATATGAATACTCCTTCACTTCTCTTCTTTCAGCTGAGGACTCCTGCCCTTCCTGTTTCATTTTGACTGCAGTAAAAATATATATAACAAATATATACAATGTTTTAACCATTTTTGTGGCATTAAGTCTATGTACTTTATCTTGCAGCCCTCACCACCATCCCTCTCCAAAGCGTTTTTATCCTTCCCATTTGAAATTCTGTCCTCATGAAACACTCAGTTCCAACCACCATTTGACTTGCTGTCTCTTTGAATTTGCTCTGCTAGGGCCTCATATACAGTATTCGTCCTCTGGTTGCTGATTTATTTCACAGAGCACTGTCTTCAAGTTTCATCCATGTTATAGCTTGTGTATGTACTCCATTGTAAGAACAGATCACATTTTGTTTACTCATTCATCTGTTGCTATGTATTCTTTGTGTCAGTAAGTCTAATGGGAATGGAAAATAAAGTGATATCATTAAATCACACATACATGCAAGGATAAAAAAAAGAGCCCATCCTGCCATATTTTGGGCCAGTCTGAAGGATACACGAAAGAGTAAACCTCTTACCCTGACCCACGAATTTCTCTTCTGTCTGCCTGTGGTTGATGCCAA